TTGCTGTCTCTGAAAACTCACCAGAGGGTCAGCTCTGAGTCAGTCCTGACTTGATGGCACACAACAATGACAACAAGGAGATCTAATTACAGAGTTCTGTTGGCTTAGTGCTAAGGAGCCATGCTGCCAACCCAAAGGCAGGTGTTTCGATTCCACAAGGTGCTCTGAGGGGAAGAAGATAGGCGGTCTCCTCCTGTGCAATTTAATCTCTGAAAATCCACTGGAGGGTCAGCTGCAAGTTGTTTGTGACTCCACTGCCAATGAGCTTGATGCCTTTTTAAAAGCTCCTAATCGCCAAGATTGGCTTTGCTGGGCTTGCAGGTGCCTCTGCTTCCAGCATCAGCCTTCCTGTTCCCATGGCGTTTGTCTAGGCTGTTGTTGTTGTAATTCAAAAGAAGAAGTCCATTCCCAAACAAGGCCACAAGCTCACGATCCAGGCACCATGGAGTTGAGTCCAATTCATGTGTGTCAGAGAGCAGCTCTGGGTGAGACTCAAACTTTCAACCTTCTGGTTAGTGTTGAGCTCCTTAACTATTTACACCACCCAGGGATTCCTGCCTATCTTGGCATGAAAAAGAATCCTGATGGCAGCAGTGTTAGCAACAAGACTGCTTCCTACTGCTCCTGTCACTGTTTCAGGGCAAAGAAGTTCCACAGAGACATCAGATGGTGCCTGACCTGCAGCTGCGTGTAGAGCCTGCTCCGACTGATGGGAACAGTGTGCTGGGACAGGGAATAGCCAGTGAAAAGTGAATATGTGGGTGGGTGGGCGCAGCACGACACCTCCCTTGTGGGAGAATACCTCTGGGAAGGTGCACATGTATTCTTACGAGAACTAGAGTGGGAGGGGAAATCCAGCCAGTGATCAAAGGGGCAGGGGTGTGTGAGGACACTCTGATGATTGGCTTCTCTGACATTTCTGAGGAATACATTTCACAACAGCCAGCTGATGTACAGAAACAGCTAAAGATTCCTGGAGGGAAGGGGTAACTCTCCTGCAAATGTCCACATTGGCAGTTCAAGGTCACCCAGAGGCATGTGGGAAAAAAGACCTGGTAATTTGCCTCTCTAGAGACTCCAGGCCACTGGGCAGTTCTGTTCTGAAACACACACAAGCTCAGCATACATACAACTCAATGTCTGTGGGCTCTGTTCGCTTTGCCTTATGCTTGCCTACATTAAATCTAAGCTGATTTTAAAAAAATGTGTTATATTCTATTTCATTTCATCAGAAATGCTCCACTTGGCCTGCTAAATTGATTCCATGACCCACTGCCTTTTCTGGAAAATGTCAGCTCTGAGCCGGCGAGTCCACTCTGCTTTGTGTTCTGCACTTCACTCTTACTATTGAGGACAGATCCTGGTGATCTTCCTCTTACTTTGCTTCAAAACACCAAGAAGAGAGTAAAGAGTGAGCCGAGAGTAAAGGGTAAGCTGAGAGTCAGGAGTCAGCTAAGAGTAAAGGATAAATATTGTATAAAACCGTTACTGTAGAATGAGTGTCAGCATCCAAGAGGTGTGGGAGAAGCTGGAAGCAGAGGGATGTGGATGTGCGGGGGAAGGGGATTAATCATTGAGTTGTACAATTTGATGGGGGGGGTGAGGGAATTGGAAAGAATTTGTTCAAATTTGTATTTGGATTTTGTAAATAAACTAATAGAGAAGAGAAAACAAAATAAAACAAAAAAAAAAAGAGTGAGCTGAGAGTCAGGAGTGAGCTGAGAGTGAGGACTGAGCTGAGAGTCAGGAGTGAGCTGAGAGTCAGGACTGAGCTGAGAGTGAGGACTGAGCTGAGAGTCAGGACTGAGCTGAGAGTCAGGACTGAGCTGAGAGTCAGGAGTGAGCTGAGAGTGAAGAGTGACAGGAAAATCTGAACGGCAAGGCTCCAGGAACCGTTCTGGAAGCAGTTTAGCAAGACATTGAGCAGCAGATGCTTTTCATGTTATGCTGCCCAAAAGGGAATTACTGTCCAATGTGAGAAGTGCCCAGTTAGGGTAAAAGGGCGAGTTCTCCCAGTACCTAAACGCCTGCTGCTCTGGAAGCCTGGTGAGCTGACTGCAGCTCTCCACTTGGTGTGGACCGTGGGCAAATTGATTATTGACATGTACAGTGGATGCGCCCACAGGAAAGGAGCAGGTCGCCGACAGGGTCAACAGCTGATGGCAGGCTTTGAAGCAGATGCATGATGTGCTCTTGTTTTTAAAATGCTTGTTAAATAGAAATGTCAAAGTGGCATCCTGCTCGCTGCACCACCCATGTTTTCTGCAGTGAACGCAAGTCACAAGAAGGGTGAAGTTAAAGGAGAGAAAGAGAAGAAAGATGAAGGGAAGGAAGAGAGCGTGGAGAAGCGAGGGAATAAAAGGGGGTGTGTGCCCGACTCCTCTGGGAGTGGCCACGGAAACAGCCGCGGCGCTACCGTGTGCGCTCCAAGGGAGCGCCTGGCTGCGCGGTGGAGGCCCTGGCAGGACCGCGGCTCTGCGGGCGGGAGGCCGCCGTGCTCAGCCGGAGGAGAAGCGCGCTCCACCCGCCGAGCCCCGGTGGGGCCAGCGCGCGCTCGGGTGCTCTGGCCGCCTCCCCCACAGCCGGGTTTCTGGAGAGGAAGCGGCGCGGATGGGGTGAGGGAGCTGTAAGATCATGTGTGCCATTTCCCTCCCTTGAAAGTTATTTTCAGTTTGAGTACTTCTAAAGCAAAAAAGCAAAACAAGACAAGCAAACAAAAAAACACAACCCCAGCTCAGGGTTCAGTTCCAAAAGTTTCCGCGGAGCAGTAGCGCGGGGGCTGGCGAGGAGCTTGGGGCTCTGGGAGAGCAGGGCCGGGCTCCACGGCCCCGGCCATCGCGCCCTGAGCCCGCACAGAGCCCT